GTACATGTGACCAATTCGATTCTGCTCAACAAGAATAGCACTTTCCCGGAGTCCATGAAGGTGTGTGGATCCCAAGTTTGGCTGGCAAGACCCACGAGTGTTCTGTCTGAGATAGATGGATGTCCATTAGATGTGGATAAAACAGTGGAAGGCCGGCGAACTGAGCTGCAGAGTATGACTGCTCACAAAGCAGGGAGAGTGGTTGGAGCAGACGAGGCTCAGAAGTTTGCTCGTCAGCATGGGATAAAGATCATCCCAACCCGATGGGTCATAGGCCCAAAGGTGGTGAATGGCAAGGAAGCTGTGAGAGCTCGGTGTGTGGTGCAAGACATCGCAAAGGGGAGCACAGCATCATCTTTAGGACTGAGTGCTACGACTCCTTCTTTAGAAGCGTTACGGACGCTTTTGGCCATTGCTTCGGTAGATGCTATGGATATCGCAACTTTGGATGTTAGCACTGCATTCTTGCATTCCCCCCTTCCGAAAGGATCGAAGGCGATTATCCAATTGCCCAAGGATGTTTCCGCCTGCAAGGACTATTATGTCCCGGTGTTTATGATTCTGGATCAAGCCATGAATGGTTTGAGAGTTGCCGCCAAAGCTTGGAACTTGAAGCTGGCGACAGTTGTGAAGAAAGTTGGGTTGAAGCAATGCCCAACGGAACCTTCCGTCTTCGAGGGCACTGTGAGAGGGAAAAGATTCCTCATGTTGTGCTATGTGGACGATTTGATTCTGTGTGGCACTAGAGATGCCATTCGGTTGGTGACCGACACCCTGAACGGAGAGTTGAAGATCAAGGAAACGGGTCGAATCACTTCCACTGGTGGAAAGATCACCTTTTTGGGGCGAGAGATTGAGAGACAAGGGAGTCATCTCAGGATGCGAGTGCCCCCGGCATACTTAGATGCCCTGTTCGAGACAGAGTTCTGTAAGGACCTGAAGGTGGTTACTGCTCCTCCGGACATCGTGAAAACGGTCGAGAAGGGCAGAGCAAGTGGTTCGGATCCTGAGTTGAGTGACACTGCAGCTGCGAGGTACAGAGCAGTACTTGGCCGGATTGCATGGTGGGGTCAGTCGAGACCTGACCTGAGTAGGTGGATGTCCATTCTTTCGCAAGGACAGTCCAAGCCAACAGCATGCTTTGAGCAAGCATTGCGACAAGTGATTAGGTTCCTAAAGGGACAATACCATGCATGGCAGTACTTTGGCCCTGATGGGAATGTACCGGACAGTGGGCCGGCGCAGCTGGAAGTGTATGCGGATGCCAGTTGGGCACCCCAAGCGTCGTTAGGACGAAGATCTGTGTCGGGCATAGCCATCTTTTATAGAGGATGCCTGATCAAGGGAATCTCTCGAGTTCAAGGGTGTGTATCGCTGAGTTCTTGTGAAGCCGAGTTGAGAGCCATCTTGACTGCGGTACAGGAGAGTGAGGGACTTGCGACTTTGATCGGTCAGTTGGCCGAGTCAGATGTCACGATCCGATTGCACACTGACAGTTCCTCAGCGAGAGCGGTTTTGCTAAACCGTGGGTTGAGTAGGCGAGTTCGCCACTTAGACATCGCTGTCTGCTATCTTCAGGAGCGGATACAGGAAGCTCAGACCTTGAAGGTCATTTGGTGCCCGACAGCGGGAATGATCGCTGACGTTCTTACAAAGTGCTTGAGTCAAGTGACATTCTGTCAGCACCAGCAAGCTATGGGTATATACCCTGGTGAAGATGTGCAGCAGGTGTGGAGGATCTGTGGAATCCGACCAAGGGTTGGAGTTCAGGCATGCCAGTTTGCCGAGGCAACTGGATGCAGTGTGGAGCAAGTTGGATCGTTGAAAAGTGTGAAAAAGTGTGGCGAAGTTTTTGAAAATTTCCAACTTAGAAGTCCCGAAACCCTTCGTGAAGACTCTTCCCCTGAGGTTCAAGAAATCGATTTATGGTCCAACCGCAAAAGCTTTGGTTCAAGCACCACGGAAGCTAGCCCTAGCCTGGAGCCTGTACCTTTGGTGAAGGACAGGAAAATGGCAGCTGAAGACAGCAGGAAGGGTGAGCAGGGTGCTGAGATGAAAAGCCCCTTTTGGTGTAAGGTTTGCAAATGGTTGTTCAGATCCGAGCATGCTGCCGGGTTGAGCTGGGATGAAAGTGGCAAGCCCAAGTGCGAAAAGTGCAAACAGACTGTGACAGTCTCTGGCACGGATGCAAGCCATGCATTCCATCTCCGAGAGGCAGAGAAGGAGCGCCGAGCTGCTGGAAAAAGGGGTGATAAAGGTGAAAGCCGAGGCTCAGGCCAAGCTGCACCGAAACCCAAGGCCATGCCGAAGGTGATTGAACGGATGGTCGACGTGTTTCCGGAGCTGGCGGATCCAGAGCCGCCGAAGTGGTTCGGTGATGTGTCATGGAGTATCTGCCGGCGCGGAACTCCAGTGGATGAGCTAGAGCTCAAGGACGTGGTAGGCACGCTATCCGACAAGGATATGTTGCGCTATCAGAGCTCATACGAGAAGCTAGTGAAGCCCATCCAGGAGGTGTGTGAGCTACAGGAGAAACCCACGAAGATCTTCGGAATCTTGGATGTCCGTGGACAGATTGGTGGCAAGGCCATCATCTGGGAGATGGCAGTGAATGAAGGAGGACTGTACATGGAAGTGCCGCCGGGAACGTGTGGCCTGGCGATGTTGAGCTTCGTGAGGTACTTGAAGAGAAAAGGGATAGTCCCTGTTTTGCTTCTGGGTGAGCACCATGGAGGATGAAGCTGAGAGCTCGTATTATCCCCCATGGGTGTTGCGCTGGAAGAGAAGTGCAAAGGAAGGATCCTTGGTGTTTAAGGAACTGGTGGAGCGAGTGCGAGTGATTTCGATGTTGTCGTGTGATACACTTCGGATTCACGAGCCGGAGCTGAGGGAGAGACCAGTCCCCAAGTGGTCGTTTGTGGCCTACAGCCACTACAGATCCGTGATGGAGTCTGTTGCAGGATTCTTGGAGGACCTGGAGAAAAAGAAAGAGGAGATCACCGACACGCAGAGGGCGGCAAGCTGGAAGAAGGTGGTTGCGAGTGAGACTCGAAGCGGTGTTGTGTGGATCTGCAAGTGTAAGTGGCACTTGCCGACCGACTATGTGGTGAGGTTCAACTTGACGTTGCCTGCCGACATGTGGCAGCAAGCCTTTGGGATCATGGGTGAGAATGTTGGGAAACTCGAGAAGGAGGAAAAGGACCTGAAGCGGATCCTCAAGGCTGCAGCGGAACAGCAAGACCGAGAGTTCGAGGAAGCTGAGCGAAAGCGCAAGCGCATCGCCGACCTGTCAGCTGCCGAGGAAGAAGCTGCGAAGAGAGCAAAGCTGGAAGGCGAAGCGGTTCGCTCGCCTGTGTCAGTTGTACCATCTGAGTTGGATGCAGCAGCTATCGCGCAGATTGCTGAGCGTGTGAAGGCAAGCTTTAGTGTTGCCGATTTGGAGCTGATGTTGGAAGAGAAGAAGAGAAAGGTTGGAGACCAGCCAACTGAGAGGCCTGCGGAGACGCCAGCTGAGCCTAGCCGATCTTCGCAGGAGGTGATGATGGAAACGAGGACGGCTGAGTTGGCGGAGATGAAGGAAGCCGCCAAGGAGCGCCGCGCCAAGTTGATGGAGTCAACTGGAGCTGGCGAGAAGAAGGGCGAAGAGGATGAAGAATGAACTGAGATGCTAAGTGATCTCAGTGGTTGGGTGGGTGAGTGAAACCCGCAGCCATTTTTTTTGGAAGCCATGGCCGCGTTGCCGCCATGGAGCGCCCGCGATTTTTCTGGTTAGTGTGAGCCCTTGTTTCAGTGCATGAGAAGTTTGCAAAGAGGAGGCAAAATGATGATGAAACTCAACGAGGGACTCTATAGCCCCTTCTGCAAGGCGTCTGATTGCCACCTCTGAAGACGTTTTTGGCTGATGGTACGCTGGAAGAAGCGAAACTATGAAGCCAATCTTTTCCTGAAGGATCAGCTAGCCGATGCTAGTTGGTGAGTTTGGTGACCTGGAAGATGCGAGACTGAGGAGGAGTACCACGACAAGGTCGAGTGCTGAGTGGGAAACATCTGAAGCTTGCATTAATTCGTTTTCACGTGTTTGTCACCACGAACTCTTGGATTCGTTCCAAGACAACCCTGCCCCAGTGCAGGTGGATGCAAGTTTAATTCGTTTTTCACGTGTTTGGACAACGAACTCTTGGGTTACCAGTGATGTGGACCCAGGACAACCTGCCTGATGGTGGGATCTTGCATGAGTTTTAAGTTTGATGTCAGAGATCGACTGGTGTGTTGTTTGTTTCGTTTGGTGGCGAGTACGCACCAAGGGAATGTGGCCAGGGCATCCCCTTAGTGTTGAAGTGCCGAGCTGGGCTTGGACTTCAGATCTTTGACATGAACCCTCAGCAAAATGCGGGGGGTGGAAGATTGTGGCTGATCAGTGATGTTTTTGTCATGTTTTGGATCAGCTTGTATAGGTTTGTTTTGCTTCGGAGTGATTGGGAATCCGTGTGATCCCATCCTCGATGGTTTATGCCTCGTTGATTTCCAAGGAAATCATACGAGTGTGTTTTTGCCCAATACGCTATTTAAAGTGAGTGTGCAGTGTGTAGGAACTTCGTTCTGAAGCTGAGTTTAAGCTCACAAGAGAGAATTCGTTTAGTTTGTGCACTTCGTGACTTGGCTCAAGTGGCTCAAGTGGCTCTGACTGTGAAAAAGAGAGAGTTGTCCGCACTTGTGTGAGAGGTCAGGGTTCGTGCTTTCAAGGGAAAAGGTACCAGAGGGACCTTCGGTTTTTCACGTCAATGACCATCTCATGTTTCACTAAACTGGAAAGCTGCGAGTTCCCAACGAGCTTTCACTTCACAACCACGATCCCTGCATGTGTACGTGAGCGTATTTACGCCCTGCGTTCACTGCGTTGGCGTGCGGACGTCGTGTTCGCGGGCGTTTGCGCCGGTTGCGGGCCCCACCCCCTCCCGCGTTAGGCAAGCACCACTCGCGGCCGATGCGCACGGGTAGTCATGGAGCACTCCAAGACTGGCAAGCACTTATCCTGGACGGGGGACATGGATGGGAAGATCCTTAAGAGAGTATTTCCAGGCTCTGTAAACCCTTGATACCTGGCCATGCGGGCGTACTGACTTGTTGCTGCTGGGCGGCTGACATTCACTTGTATCGCGTGAAGGTGTTTTGCCGATAGTCTGGATCTGCCATGACTCTGACAGCAGGAAGCTGTCCATTCTCCACAAAAGAGGAGCCGTTCAACTCCCTTGAAGAGCTTTGCCGGTTGACAGGCCTGTCCTGTTAATACCGTGATCATGGTACTGTACAGGTCTTTTCACAATGACACTTGAAGAATGGCCTGCTTGTGCTCCTGACGCAGAAAGAGGCGTGTGCTCCAAGCGAAAAAAAGGTTTATGTCGTGATCATAAGCTCTGTCCCATGCAACGGGATTCACAAGAGAAAACCCAACCCATCCCTCATACACCCTTTTGTTTGCCCTGCACGCCTCGCCAAGACATTGCAGCCCTCTCTCCCCATCCGGAAAGCGTGGACAGGCGGCGGTGCTTCCAAAAGGAGATATGCTGCTGGAGTCAGGTGGAAGGAGAGCAGCTAGTTCCCGAAAAACCCTAAGCCCTAAACCCTAAACCCGAAACCCTAAACCCTAAACCCTAAACCCTAAACCCGAAACCCTAAACCCTAAAGTTCTTGACCCCTGGCGGCCGATCAAGCCTTTGCCTCTCTTGCCGTCCATCTCCTACCCTTGGGATGTTCCCTTCTACTAGCAGTCCTTCATAGGGATTTTAGTAGGGTTTAGGGTTTTAGGGTTTAGGGTTTAGGGCTCAGGGCTCAGGGCTTAGGGTTTAGGGGGGTACTGATGTCCTATGAAGGCCTTGTTAGTATAAGGGGGAACATCCCAACTTACACCCTGTCGTTACGCTGCGGTCCAGCACCCTGTCATTGCGCGAAAGTGACATGGCCTGACAGTCCGCATCTCACCCACCCTCCGACCCTGGGTGATTGAAACTTCACATGTGAGAGTGTCATGTTCTGCATCGCCCCATCTCCGAAAATGTCGTCTTTTTCTCATGTAAGAATCAAGAGCCTAGTTTGCAGCTTGCTTTCTGTTTGAAGTTCATTCATCAAACAAGCTTTTCTCGAACATGCCGATCAGCATTTTACCTGAAGTTTGATAGAATCAATCCCGTCAGGGTAGATGAGAAATCTTATTCCCCAAACAATCTACTGTTGGGGCGCTAAGTTCATTTAAGGATTGCCGACATTCTGAGGAGTGTTGCCGGGTTCCTGGGCTCCTTGTCTCCCTTTGTCTCCCTTTGTCTCCCTTTGTCTCCCTTTGTCTCCCTTTGTCTCCCTTTGTCTCCCTTTGTCTCCCTTTGTCTCCCTTTGTCTCCCTTGTCTCCCTTTGTCTCCCTTTGTCTCCCTTTGTCTCCCTCCATGTGGGTGGCTTTGCCGGGTTGCTTTGCTCCTCGCCTCCCTTCGTCTCCCTTCGTCTCCCTTTGTCTCCCGTCGTCTCCACTGTTTCTTTGACGTGCCTTTGACTGTTTGGGGTCTTCGGTGGTGTAATGGAACTCTCATTGCACAGAGACTGAGCTTGAGTTCGGGAGCCGTACTGTGTCACCGAACAACTACGCCCATGTGGAGAAGCATGCACACGTGCGCACCCGCAGATGCGGCTCCTTGTGGCCACAAGTAGCGTCTTCGGCCGGGATGCGGAACGTGCAAGATGTTTATAAACTGCCCGAGGATGAGGAGTCGGCTTCCGAGGACTCCGTCCTCGAGCGCGCCGATGTGGCACTGATTCGGGAGATTGACCCGGCAGATGCTGACCTCTACATTGATGCCATCTTCTCGCCCCTCTACCGGTGTTTCAAGGCGTCCAGAGGGCTTCAGGTGAGAGACTATGTGGTGGTGGCATTCTTCTTGTTGGTCAATGTTGGACTGCAGTATGCTCTTTCCTACAAAGTTTGGGAGATTGCAACTGATGGCGACAGTCATGGCACCTACGTGGATCGGCAAAAGGTCTTCGGGCTGTGCAGGAAGATGGATGCGGACAGTCCCTCACTTCGCCTTCAGTTGAACTTCAAGCTTTTTGGGTCTCCTTCTTCAGTAGGAGCATCAAAGTTCAACCCTTTTTCCTTCCCCCCCTTTGGCTATTGGAGAATTCAGGTCCCTTGTTCGGTCTGCTCTGGCCCATTGAGCTGAAATCCGACTTCCCAGAAAAGGGGTTCGACTGCGGACTCAACCAGGTGGGTGGCTGTCAAAGTTATGGTCCCTTTTTGGATCCCTATATTGAAAATGCGGCCACTTAATTGTTTAGGGTTTAGGGTTTAGGGTGTAGGGTTTAGGAGGTATTTGGGGTACCCCCAGAAAAAGGGATCATCATTTTAGAACCACCACCCACCCAGGTGACTGTCGCCATGAACCCGACGCTACTCGAAGAAAAGGATGAGCCCGGATGGTGGAGCATCGACAGCAAGTATTCCTCACTCGTCAGATCCTTCGACGAGGAGATGGCGAAGCTGGGTATCGAGAAGAGGTCCAACCTCAGTTCCGCCGTGCACCAGATGATCTATGATAGTAACGACGAGGAATATGAAGAATGGTTGAGCATGGACTACCTGAAAATGCGACGAGGCCGATTCAAGCTTTGTCTCCTGGCGGACACGAACCTCTGCGGCAACTTGCAGAACGACGGCGTTCTGGCGGAGATCTTCCCAACGATTGAGAAGGATCGCCTCGGAAATTGCTCACAAGGAGAAGATGATGTTTGGGGTTGCAATGACGTTTACACTGAAAGATCCCTGCAGAAGTGCAAAGACCAGATGACGACCTGGTGCGGCCACATCTTCGGCAGCAGCTATCAGGATTACGCCCTGAAGAAGCACCAGGTTTGTGATACGTTTGGCAAGCAGATTCTTGCCCCTGGGGTGTGGGGAGTGGAGTCATACGATGTGGTTGAGAAGTACCATGGTGAAGGCAACTCGATTGACACTTTCTCCTTCGCGATGCTTCTATACATGGTTCTGCTTATCTGGGCCATGCTGATACTGGAGGAGTACCGAACCATCTACAACTCTGTCATTGTCATCCACACGACAGAGTCCACAAGCAGCACACACCCAGATGACTTTGCAACAACAGACCCAGATGGCTTAATGGAGCTGACGAAGCTGCCCAGAGTGCACAAGGCGTTTGCGCTCGGCGTGTGTTTTGCTCGATCCATGGTTGGGCTGGTCGTTGCCATTGTGGGGCTGGTCCTCCTATCATCCACTGACAGCTTGCTTGACCTCATTCTCAACTGCACGGCCTTGGGATTCCTGCTCGAGGTGGACAACCTGATACACCGCGCATTCTTCGGCCTGGCCTTCAAGCTGACGATCACGGACAACTGCGCGCCCCTTCGGTGCACATCTGAGGACCCGCACCTGCGAAGCTGACAGTTGATGTTCTTGTGCGATCTTGTGGGGCCTTGAGTGGTAGGGAGCGATGTCCGCCATGTTTTGCAGAACGCGCGCGGGTGGGCAAAAGCGTGGCCTCTGCGCGAAATTTCCCGAAATTGTACAGGGGATGGATTTTGCATGTACGACCCGAAACCCGAAACCCTCCAATTGAGGCCAGCTTCTCGAGGTGCATCTCGCCGTATGTTGCGCGAACACAAAGTGCTGCAAGTCTCGCGAATCTCGCGCCAGGCTTCAGCAAACCACATCCGCGAGCTTCACAGTGTTGTTTCAAGGCCATGTGCGCAAAGTGCGAGCTATGCAGGAGAGCTTCAATCGCCTTGTCAGAGTGTTGCTTTTCAAGAACTGTGGGGGTGTAGTTTCACGTGAAGGGGCCAGAGATCACGGCTTGGAATTGCTTGGTTGGGGGCCCTCTGTTGAACGCCCTCATTTCGTCAACTGGTGAGGACGGCCTTCAGAAGAGGACCTCCCAAACTCCTCGCCCACGTGCATTTCCACCCAGGCTTCAATGCCGGGCTTTGATGAGCTAGCAGCAAGTCAACCAAACAAAGAGGGCACACGGTTTGCTGAGGGTGGATCCACAAGCACGAGTTCACTAGCTGCAGCACTGAACCTGCAAGTATGAATCGGAAGTACTGCAAGGAAGGGAACACAAATTCAAGCTGCTGGGTGCGCAAATACCCTTCATCGACCTCACGAGACACGAAACGCGGATGCGCAAGCCCTAAAGAATTATAAGCACCCAAAAACCCTCAGCCCTCAACCCTAAACCCTAAACCCTACGGAGCCCACTTGCCTCACACATCCACAAAGCACACCCAGCAGCAACGGTGTACAGGTCCGATTCCCATCTCCGAGCCGCCTGACCTCGGCACACATCCCAAATCTCAACCAGAGGGTTTAGGGGTAGGTTTAGGGTTAGTTTAGGGTTCGTTTAGGGTTCGTTCAGGGTCCGTTTAGGGTTCGTTTAGGGTTCGTTTAGAGCTTAGGACGCTGCCTCGATGCGGCCAGAAACTAGCACTCAGCAAACTGCTTCGCTCGAGCACGTCGAAGATTCAAAGTCGGCCGCGCAGATGACCACCGCCGATCAAGCATGATCAAGCCCCTAAACCCTAAACCCTAAACCCAAAACCCTAAACCCTAAACCGGCCCTAAACCCTAAACCCTAAACCCTCAACCCTCAACCCTCAACCCTAAACCATCCGAATTGGTATGTTCCAAAGAGCAGCAATATTCACCATCAGCATTGCCTTTTGGTCCCGAGTGCGCCATGCAACTTCATCCTTTGCGCGGCTACCCCAAAATGTTGAAACTATAATCCCTACTAAGGACTGTTAGTAGAAGGGGGAACATCCCAACATCAGAATCTGTGTCCAAGCACGACATTGGAGGGTGTCTGAAGATCGTCCGGGCAGGGTGGTGCATGTCTTAGGCGCCTGAACACGGAATCTCACAAACTGCAATTTTCCTCCAACGCTCTCTTCTGCAGTATTTTGTGCGTAGACGTGTTCTTGTTTCTGCACGTCTCTGCATTCATTCGCAGGAATATGCCGGCAAGTGGCGCCCTGTGCGCTATTTGATGGTGGTCCTCCCAGCAATTTTCCTCTGGGAGGGTGAAGTGTACTTCATCACAACAGGACTCCCTCAACCCTAAGCCCTAGACCCTAAACCCTAAACCCTAAACCCTAAACCCTAAACCCTAAACCCTAAACCCTAAACTCAGGGCCTAGGCCGCACCCCTACGGTGGGTGGCGGCGCCTAAGCCCTTCGACCTCGATGGCGCAAGCCCACCCAGATCGCTCCTCCTCAACCTGGAGTGGCTGACCTTTTCGGATGGGGTCCCGGACCCCTCAGGCCAGGCTTTCCTTCCCCCCCCCTGGCCCCTGGGCCTGGGCCCCTGGCTAGGGGGGAACAGGAAGCTTGAGTTTCGGCCTAACCCCTAGGAACAGGTTTGAGCGGCTTTGCCGCTTCGGACGGCGGGGGGTGGGAGAAAAATGTTAGATGGCCTTCCACAGTCGGGCCAAGCTGCTCTTCGCGCCTCACGAAGCTTTCGAGCTTGTTTCAAAAACTAACCTTCGCAGCATCTACGCCCTATCACAGCAAACCCTAAACCCTAAACCCTAAACCCTAAACCCTAAACCCTAAACCCTAAACCCTAAACCCTAAACCCTAAACCCTAAACCCTAAACCCTAAACCCTTAACCCTTAACCCTCAACCCGAAACCTGAAACCTGAAACCCGAAACCCTAAACCCTAAACCCTGGGCCCTAAACCCTAAACCCTAAACCCTAAACCCAAACCCTAAACCCTAAACCCTAAACCCTAAACCCTAAACCCTAAACCCTAAACCCTAAACCCTAAACCCACAGGACTTATTGACGTGGGCAATGCGATCGAATGTTTCTTAGTTGCAGAGTAGGTAACCTTTGACATATTTCGGGTAATAGAATCCACTTAGATTCCCAAGCGTTTAGGGTTTAGGGGTTAGGGTTCAGGGTTTACGGCCTTTCGTCTTCCTACGTACTGGACAACTAAGGTTTGTGCCAGAACAGCGGCGAGAAGTGTCTGGGTGAACGCTTATTGGCCGTTGGTAAGAATATCTCAGGGAACGTCCTGACTACATAGGAGTTCAGCCAGACAGGTCCAGCTGAATGTATGGGAAGCTCATTTGTTCATACTTCTAATGCCGCCTTGCGGTCTTTCTCATCTATCACTGAAACTTGGTTGGACCACACCGATTGGGTGATGTCGGCTGGGCTGTGTCTTTGAGATCAGGGACATTGCACCGGCTGTTCATTGAAATTGCTAGCATCTGTATAAGTTTCACCCCACGCTAGTATAGGACGGTTTTTGAGTCTTCCAAGGCGTATGCCACATTTTGGTAGAGTGCTTATCGTGGCAAGCGCGAGGAGGCAAAACATGCGCTCCGACGGTGAAGCATTCCTCTTGCGACTGTGGCCAGTCTTCCGTGCTGTTGCAGCACGTGAGGTGGTTCAGGGTTTAGGGTTTAGGGTTTTGGGTTTAGGGTTTAGGGTTAGGTACCTTTCATTGGAAAGTTTGTGCTCAAGGACGCACAATGACACTGGAGCAGATCTACAGGTGTAAGTGCGAAGGGGCACTGCAGCAGGCTTATGTTACCCTAAACCCTAAACCCTAAACCTTAAACCCTAAACCCTAAACCCTAAACCGTAAGCCTTAAACCCTAAACCCTAAACCCTAAACCCTAAACCCTAAACCCTAAACCCTAAACCCTAAACCCTAAACCCTAAACCCTAAACCCTAAACCCTAAACCCTAAACCCTAAACCCTAAACCCTAAACCCTAAACCCTAAACCCTACACCCTAAACCCTAAACCCTACCCTAAAAGATGTTTGCTCTGAGCGGCCAGTGTTCCCAACGTGATGGGCCTCGACTGCGAGGCGCCGTTCCCGGAACCACCAAAGCTGCTTGCAACATCTAGCCCGACGTCCTAACCCATAAGCGCAATTCCGCTACATCCTAGCCCTAAGCCAGGTTTAGGGTTTGTTTACTGGAGCTCCTGGGTTTAGTGGACTCGTCCCATGGGTTTAGGGTTTAGAGTGTAGGAGCCTTGTGGAGGCGCCTTACCCTCAAGAGTTAACCCCCGAAACTTCCCACACCCTACTCATGAATACCCTCAACCCAAACCCTAAGCTTAAACTTGAAACCCTCGACCCCGGCCCCTAAGCCCTAAACCCATCATGCGAACAGCGGATGAGGGTTCCGGCGTACGGTTTTGAAATGTTTGCCCGGAGCGTTCCAGGATTCCATTCATTTCGGGGAATCTGGGCCCCCCCTTGGGATATGATACAACATGCAATATCTATATTCATATCTACATCTGTATCTGTATCTAAACACATATCTATATCTATATCTGTATCTGTATTTGTATTCATATCTGTATCTGTATTTGTATCTGTATCTATATCTATATCTATATCTGTATCTATATCTATATCTATATCTAAATCTATGTCTATATCTATGTTTGTGTCAATATCTGTATATACAGGTATATATTCACACACACATACATATATATATATATATATATATGTATATCAGACTCTCTACAATATCATGAACAAGCACAACATACTAAAGAAACAAAACAAAAAACATATATATATATATATATACATATATTTCGGGTTTTCGAGAGTAAAGCTTGCAGCAGCCCCTATGGTTTGCGGATAGTTTGCATTGAGCCTTGCAGCCTGTCGAAAGGTCCTAGGAAATAGTGAAAAAGTATGTGCTCACAGTGTTCTCGCATCCCCGGGGCTTACAGTACATGATTTTTCCGCATCACCTTATATCTATATCTATATCTATATCTATATCTATGTCTATATCTATTTCTATATCTTTATCTATATGAACCATTTATATCTATATCTATATCTAGATCTCGATCTAGATCTAGATCTATATCTATCTGAACCATCTTTCTACATCTATATCTAGATCTAGATCTGTATCTATATCTATATCCATATCTATATTTATATTTATGTTTGTATCTCAAAGAAGCAGTGCGGTGTTCGTGGCGGCGGCGGGGGTGGTGGTGGTGGCGGCGCTGGTGCTGCTGGTGCTGGTGGTGCTGGTGGTGCTGGTGGTGATGGTGGTGATGGTGGTGATGGTGGTGATGGTGGTGATGGTGGTGATGGTGGTGATGGTGGTGATGGTGGTGGTGGTGGTGTTGTGTGATGGCGTGTGGTGGCATGTGGCGGTGTTGGCAACAATTACCCCTACTAAAGCATGGGCGTGAATCTCGGCTAGCTTTCGTTTCCCCTCAAGTACGACTATATGAAACTAGTATACATGCATATGTAATGTAGTATATGATGCTATTTATTAAGTTGGTTATAGGGTTTCGCTAGGGATTCTTCGCAGCTTGGGCAGCACTAGACAACTCCTGGCCATCATCCCTCAAGCGACTTCCGCCCAAGGCGGTGTGTAATTCAGGGTGGTGGTGAGGATGTCACCCCCTCACCCTCTGTGCACCTCATGCTTCACTGTCATTGGCGCCATGGTTCCGATGGATTTCTCCGACCCCCCTCCGAAGGCCGCGCCCAAAGCAAAGGCACCCCCGGCAACCGTGCTGCCCACCTCCTTGCCGAGCGAGCTTCTGCGCGGGGTGCCTCTGCACACCTGCCTTGAAGGCTGATCCTAGGTAGGATAAGGGGGGGGGGGGTGGCCCCTTGAAAGGGAACCCTTCTGAACCCTCTTCTGGCTCTCTTAAACAGGGGCCTTATTCAGAGGGTCTATATCCCCCAAGATTCCCCCTAACTATCCCCTACGTAGGCCTTACACCCTAAACCCTAAACCCTAAACCCTAAACCTTACTCCCTAAACCCTAAATCCCCTGGAAGGGCTCGGCAAGCACTGGGCGACCAGCCATGACGAACACAGCCGGGACTTCGAGTTCAGCCAGGTGGGGGGGTCTCCGCAACTCGGGAAGTACCTTCTTGGGGTTCATATTCTAAGGCTTAGTAGTAGACCTTTTTGGGGTAGAATCCCAAAGGTTAAGAAGCTTTAATTCCCCCAGGTTATTGGACAACTAAGCAAGGGGTCTCCTACTCTTTGGGGTACCTGATTGGGGTTCATATTGTAAGGGGATCCTATTCTTTGGGGGACTCTTATTAGGTGATGCCCCTATTAAACCCCCCAAAACCCTAACCCTACAGTAAGCCCTAAACCTTTAACCCTAAACCCGAAACCCTAAACCCCAAACCTTAAATCCTAAACCCCAAACCCCAAACCCTAAACCATAAACCCTAAACCCTAAACCCCAAACCCTAAACCCTAAACCCCAAACCCTAAACCCTAAACCCGAAACCCTAAACCCCAAACCCTAAACCCTAAACCCCAAACCCTAAACCCCAAACCCTAAACCCTAAACCCCAAACCCTAAACCCGAAACCCTAAACCCTAAACCCTAAACCCTAAACCCCAAACCCTAAACCCTAAACCCTAAACCCCAAACCCTAAACCCCAAACCCCCAGGTTGTGCCCAGACTCGATGAGTTCATCAGCCACGACTGGGCCACCTCGCGCTGGGCGAAGCTGTGCGCCATGCTGGTGATCCTTGGGGTGGTTTAGGGTTTAGGGTTTAGGGTTTAGGGTTCAGGGTTTAGGGTTTAGGGTTTAGGGGTTAGGGTTCAGGGTTTAGGGTTAGGGTTTAGGGTTTAGGGGTCAGGCAGAGCTTACCGCCCAGCGGTGCCCTTTTCTGAGCCTTTCTTGGGCTCTGGGCTTCCCGTTTGTAAGAGGTATCTACTGGTAGCCCTAAACCCTAAACCCTAAACCCTAAACCCTAAACCCTAAACCCTAAACCCTAAACCCTAAACCCTAAACCCTAAACCCTAAACCCTAAACCCTAAACCCTAAACCCTAAACCCTAAACCCTAAACCCTAAACCCTAAACCCTGACCCTAAAAGGGGTACCCCTTTCTAGGGCTGTCATGGGATTTTTTCTCGCTGCCCAAGGATCTACAACTCCCCGGCCGCTTGCGCGGCCGCGGCTGCGGTGGCCCTGCTGTGGTCCATCTTGGGGAAATGGCTCATCGAGCGCTTTACGGAAACTGGGTATCGATTTGGGACAATTTTTTTTTTAAAATAATTTCCCTGGTAGTTGAATATAGAGCCCTAACTAGAAGTGTCTTAACTTTCCTTTTTGTTGAATATGGAGCCCGAACTATAAATAATTTGTAATTTCCCCTATTTTTGAATATGGAGCCCTCATTGGCATACTTTTTTGGGGACTGTCGAACCTTAAACCCTAAACCCTAAACGCTAAACCCTAAACCCTAAATCGACGCCCAGGAAAGCACGCCCTGGATGGAGGTGTGGATCTTCCTCTTCCCCGTGGTCGTGGTCTTCTACCTCTTCCTCTTCGGATTTCAGTGGCTTCGCGGCTTCTTCTTGCGCCCGAGGAGCTCTTAAACCCCTAACCCCTAACCCCTAACCCCTAACCCCTAACCCCTAACCCCTAACCCCTAAACCCTAAACCCTAAACCCTAAACCCTAAACCCTAAACCCTAAACCCTAAACCCTAAACCCTAAACCCTGAACCCCAAGCCCCAAAGAGGATGATCTTCTTGGACAAGATGTGCATCGCCCAGCGCGACAAGGGCCTGAAGGAGCAGGGCATCGCGGGGCTCGCTGGCTTTCTTTCCAAGAGCCAGACGATGACCATCCTCTGGTCTCCCCGGATCCTCGGTTTACGGTTTAGGGTTTAGGGTGTGGGGCTTAGGGCTAAGGGCTAAGGGTTTAGGGTTTAGGATTAGGGTTTAGGGTTTAGGATTAGGGTTTAGGGTTTAGGGTTTAGGGGGAGTTGCGACTGCTCATCATTTTTTTCGGGCTCCTGTCTCCATTGTGGGCGTCCTCATGTAGAGTAGGTCCTATCGATTGTAGCGCTGGTAAACCCGAGTCCGCTGTTCGGATCTGAGATTTCGCGCCTTTAGCAGCAGCTGCCCTACAGCAGCAGCAGCCAGAGCAACACGAGCAACGGCGAACTGCAAGAACACAAACAACCATGCAACAGCAATGCAACAGCAGCAGTAACACCAAGAGCAACATAACATTAAAACGACAATCGTAACAATTTGTACGCATTAGGACGAACACTTCTCGCGAAAATCGGGTAGTTCAGAACGAGACGTAACAACGAAGCAGCGCTTTGCCTTGCGCTGGTTGGAGAGTCACGCGCGTTCCTCACTGCATCTCCCTCCCGATGCAGGCCCTAATCCTCGTTAAAGTCCCCGTGTTTAAATGTGCATGTCCAGGCTCTGCGTAGCAGATGCCCCGATGTTCCTGGAAGCTCGTTGTCGCTTTCCCCTTTTGGTTCGACCCGTGCCCTCTCTCGGTGCCCGTGTTTAAGGTGCCTCTGTGTCCTTTTGCCTGCGCCGGCCATGCCTTGGCCCTTGCAGCTTTTCGCAATCCGTGTTGCTCACGTCTTGCCTCGCCGCAGCGGAAGCAACGCCGCACAGTAACAACTTGCCAGGCCCTGCTAAGCAGTTGCCTCATGTGTCTGCAAATGCTTTCTCCGCTCGGTTTCAACCCGAGCCCGTCTCTTGGATCCCGTGTTTAAGACGCCCGAGTTTTCGCCCCGCCCCGCCTGTGCCGGCCGTTCCTGGGCCTTGCAGCTCATTGCAAACCGAGTTGCTCACTTTGCCTTGCAGCAGCAGTAGCAACAGCTGTGCCGTAACAGCGGCCCGAACCCTGCAGCAAGCCACCCTCTGGGCCAAGGCTACTGCAGACAAAGCACACACACACACACACACGAAGCAGGTACTTCAGCAGCATCGCGAGCCGCCTCCTGGGGCGCCTGGGCCCCTCGGCTGCTGCGGGGGACACTGAGCAGAAGCAGTGTCCTGCGAAGAGCTCGCTACGGGTTCCAGTGGCAACTCCCAAGCTGCTGGGATGGAGAGGCATGTATTGGCTTCTACTTGTGATGGGCCCAGCGCCAGGAGCTGAAGTTTCGAATGGGCTTTTCGAGATGGGTGGCGATTTGACTGGTCTTGCTTTATTTACGCCAAGGGTTTCCCCTTCGATGGCATTTGATTTTCCGGGCAGTATGATGCAACACTTTGGGAGCGCTGTTGCAGATGATGAGGTCGGTGTGCTTGTGCAGGCGCAGTGGTGTAAGCCGTCAGCGCCATTGACCTCTGCGGAGTCGGCTTCCTACCTCTTCCTCCATGCCAAGGGGGTAGGGCTCTTGGACTCCCTTTGCAACTTTTGCGAGGTTCCCATTGTCACCTCAGGAGCCGGGATTTGCGAGACTTTTGTTACCAGCCGCCCCAGGTGGCGAGCTGGCTTGCTGGGTGTCAGAGTAGGCGAGGCCGCTAATCCGGGCCCTGCTGCAACAGCTACCGAGCACAAAAGGCGGGAAAGAAAGACGCAGGGAGCTCTGATCGCCATCATTGAGCTTCTCTGCACCATCTTGAGGCAGTTTGCTGGTGAGGACCCTTCGGTTTCCATGCAGATTGCGGGAGTCTCAGCTCTCTTGGCGGTGCTCAAAGATGACGACGACGATGCAGACGATGTGCCGCCCTGTCCCCCAAGGCGCGCTGTGTTTGCTGAGGAGCCGGAGATACAGACCTATGAGGCGGAAGGCTCTTTTAAGCCTGTCAGGCGCAAATCGAAGCCGGCGCCAACTGGGGACGTGCAAGGCCCTGCGCCCCCACCTCAGAAAGGGCGAGGAAAGGGCAAACCTGCAGCTGATCCGTCCACTTCTCCATCCGCGGCAGGCACTACCGGCAAGGGCAAGGATGATGCAGCTAAGACCAAGGACTCGGCGCTGCCTCTCCTCCGTGCATGTGACTGGAACTCTGAGATAGTCGGCTATCCGGCGGCGTGCACTCGTCTCAACAGCTTGGGGGGCTCCGTGCTGGTCACCGTGAAGGATGCAGAGCAGGCGGATGCACTCTCACAGATGATGATGAATGCCGGTTCAACGTGCTCGGCGCGCATGCTGTGGCGCGACAAGGACGGGAAGCATCGGCTACCTGTAGACGTTGGTGGGGTCACAAGGCTTGAGTCTTTCTCATCCCACGACTACACTACTGCTGGCACCCCTTTGCCTACCTTGAAGCGGGAGCCCACGACTGCCAAGGTGGTCCCGACCGACCCTACCACCACGGTTTTCCGCATTGTCTTTGCCCGGCCTTTCGTTGACAAGGAGGTGTGGGCAAAGGTCACTTCTACTCCAAAGGCGGCGGTGCAGAAGTGGGGCAAGGCCACGCAGACTAAGGAGACCACTGGGTTCATCAAGGACGCGTGGGCATTCGCCCAAGAGTCCCGGTTGGGACAGCCTGCTGTGATTGGGCTGATACGCCTGCCCATCTCTTTGGCTGAGCAGGTGCTCGCATTGTCGGGCAAAGGTGGAGTGTTCTTGGAACCCACTGGGCGCACTGATACGGTCAAGTGTGCTGTGCAATGGCTGGACAAAGCTGAGGAGGAGACTCTGCAGTCCGTGTTGGAGCGTGCGCTTGACATGGCCCCGCAGTTTGGTGCTTTCCTTGGGAAGCGGCAGATAGGAGTCCGGGTTCCCCTGGGCACTTCGGCTTCTTCGGGATCCATGCGTTTTTTTTGCAGTCAATGGCACCCCGGCTGCTTGGAGTGACGAGCTCATCCGCGAGCTTCTCATCGAGCAAACGGACTTGAAGGAGGTCACTGTTTTGCGAAAGACAATGCGCAGAGGACGGGCGAACTGGTTGCTGCGAGCACGAATTGCTGACAATGCTGACTGCTACCAGCTGTTGGTTAAGGAGGGCGAGCACACTGCCACTTACTGGACTATGCTGACACGTCCCGGGCCCGTTCGAGAGGCACGGCCTATCGCCGACCATCGGGGCTTCTCCTTGAGCAAGGGCCAGCCTGAGAATGCCAACAAGCCGGAGCCAAAGCCGGGCAAGTCTGATGGTGATGGCAACCCTCTCAAGAAAGCCGCGGTTGCAAAGAAGCGCCAGATCCCGAATGGTACCACGCTCACCACTGTCGAGGCCGATGGCAACTGTTTCTTCACTGTCATCGGCAAGGCGGTTGCTCGTTTGCGCAAGGAGCCGGAGATGCCGGCAAGTAGAACCAGAGCTGAGATCTGTGCTCACATGAGGAAGCACATCCAGGTGTATGAAGAGTACTGGGACAAGTGCGACAGTGCTGGACAAGAGCTCGAGTTTTTCGATGAGTACATCCAACACATGGGCCTGAATGCCAAGTGGGCGGGAAGCCTCGAAGCTTATGCGGCCTCGAAGGCGTACAAGGTCGCGGTCCTTGTCGTGCCGGCCGCCGCCGACCAGGCCACCGCGATTTACAACGCGGGGGCGCGCGATACGATCGCACTTTGGCATACCGAGGGCCCTGGGCACTTTGACTGGCTGGCGCCAAGCACTGGGGACGGCCTGCCGCGGGACATCGCTGAGAATGCCGAACAGGGTAAGCCAGGACAGGGACCACGCGGGGGAGGACGAGACGACTCCGCCGGGTCCGAGCACACTGTCTTCACCGATGTCACGGCCTTCACTCGTGTTGGAGCAGCCCAGTCAGGCAGGAAGCGTGGCAGCAGCAGCTCCCAGCCGGGCTCTTTCCCACGCGGGGGCTCAGCTTACGACGTGGACTTCGACGACAAGTCTGAGGCCACGGTCTTCACTCGCCGGGAAGGCGGCACAGATGTGGCGAACGAGGATGCGAAGACCGTCTTCACCACCTGCTCTGGCGGGCGACGTGGCAACAGCGCGGCTGACTCTTCGTCTGGCGACATCCGCAAGTGGCTTCTGGCTGGAAGGCGTGCGGGCTCTGAGGCCGTGACTGGGGCCACAACGAGGGGCACGACCGACAACCTTGACTTCGACGAGGCCGATTTGGCGGGGTTCCATGGAGAAAATGCTGCTGAGCCGGCGCCAACGAGGCGGCGGACCTTGTCGGGCTGGACTTGCCCGGAGTGCTTTTGGAAAACAGGCAAAGTCAAGTGGTGGGTTCAAAAGAAGCAAAGGCACATCGACAACTTCCACCCGGACCTCAAGGCTGAGCTGAACTTGAGGACCAACCGCGTGTGCTTGGTTCCCTTCAATCCTGACACCTGCGTTTGGCGCTGCCCGGTTGAGGGATGTGGGCTGGGCCTGCCGGCCACTGAGGCGGACTCGGACGCTCGACTTCGTGCTCGGCGCTACCACTGGGCCACCGACCATCCGGACAAGCCCAAGGCGCTCTTTCTGCTCGCCAAGGGCACCAAGGAGGGGGCGAACAAGGCTACTACGGCCAAGCTCTCTGCAGGTGTTGCCAAGCGGCTGCACCAGCTTCGTGCGGGTGAGGCTGGCGACCACGACGTCACCTTCCTCAAGTTGCCGCCTGCGACAAGTGGGGGGAAAACTGCTGGGGGCAAGAAGCGCAAGCAGCGCCGGGCGATGACTTGGGTTGCGTGCCGGCGGTGCAAGCGACTGGCCAACACTGTGGCAGGCATTGGGAACAAGCCGTGCAAGCCGCACACTGCGGGGGCTAGACGGCCCGCGTTGATAGCACGGCTGCGAACTGCGCTGGAGGAGGCTGAGCTTGATGACGACGTCCAGCGCGATGTCAAGTACCTGCTCGAGCTCTTCGCTGAGGATACCGACGCTGGGGGCCCCGTCGCTAAGCACGACCTCAACGCGGTGGCGTGGCCTTTGGGTGGACGCGACTTCGAGATCCGCTTCGTGTGTGGTGGCTGCGGTGGTGGTTGGAAGCGGCTTCGTGACGCCGAGGACAAAGACTGCTACCCCGCTCGACGCCGCGTCACCACTGGCAAGATCCGTGCGCTCCGCAAGGTCGTCAAGGAGGGCGGCACCCAGGCGAAGGCTGCGACAAGCATCCTCGGCATCCTTGGCGAGACGGACGGGAATGGCTCGGACCAGGCTGCGACCACCGAGCTCGCGCGGGGGCTTGGGTACCATGCCTAAGTCTTCTCTTCGGGTGGGAACTTGCAACGTCCGCTCCCTCACTGGCAAGATGGGGGCGGTCATGGACTTAGCTGCAAATGCCGGTGTCAACTTGCTCTGCTTGCAGGAGACCAAGCTCACGCAGGAGGGGTTGCATGCGATGCGCCAAGCCTTTCGGGCCAAAGGGTGGAAACTCTTACCTGGCCCCTTGGCTGTTGACTCGGCTGGCAAGGCTTCTGGTGGTGTTGCAGTCATCACTGACTGGCCTGTGGAAGTTCTCGAGGTGCCGGTTGCTGCTGCTTTCCCCACTCGCGTCATGGCTGTGAAGGCGCACCGCCCTGCTCAGCGGCCTCTCTTGGTCATTAACGGCTACCTCCCTGCTGCTGATGACCAGCTCAACCAGCACATCGCCTCCACCGTGCTTCGCTGGGCCACAACCTCTGGCGAGGACTTCGTTTTCTTGGCGGATTGGAACCGGACGCCCAACCAGCAGCCTCTGTGCGGTTTCTTGGCGGGTGGCCTTGTGTATGCCATGGACCCCGACCCGTTCCTGGAGGGCAAGGGCACGCACAGACTCGAAAACGGCGACTACACTGGCAGGCTCATCGACTTCGGGCTCTCCTCGACGCGCTTGGCGGTGGACGGTCGAGCGCAGCATCTCGGCCCGGCTGACCATGACCTTGTTACCTACGATGTGCACTTGCTCAGTGGCCGGCGTGGCTGGCGTTGGCAACCTCAGCTTCGGCTTGATGAGGACAAAAAGAACGTTGACTGGCAGGCGCACTGGCACAGCTTGGACGCTTCCTTTAAGGTGGCCCTTGACGAGAACGACACAGAGACTGCGTGGCGCTTGCTTTCAGGCGCTGCTGAGGCAGCCTTGGCGCAGGACGGTGCGCGGCCCGCTAAGCCCCGCGGGGTCCCCGGCAAGCCGCTGCTCACTGAGGCCCACGCGGGTAAAACCCCTTCTGTGCAGACCCTGCGCGAAAGGAAGCTTCGCAGGGCTGCGCGGCGTGCAAAGGCAGTGTTGGAAGGCAGTGCTCCACCTGATGGGAGCTCTAAACTCTTGAAGTACCTGCAGCACCTGGCGGACGTGTTCCCGGACCTGGGCCAGGTGGTACAACTTCGTGGCTCTGCGCTCCTTGCTTTCTTGCTTGAAAAGGCGGCGGAAGAGGAGGCAAGGGCAAACCGTGCGCGTCTTGATAAGTGGGCTACGGATGTTCAGACGGACCTCCCTAGGCTGGCAAGATGGGTGAAGGCTTCTGCTGTTGAGAGGCCGACTGCTTTTGAGGACTTTGCGGAGGACCCGGACCCCCAGGCAAAGGCCGAAGCTGCGGCAGTGGTTTGGGGTGACAGGTGGAACAGGCTTCGGCGTCCTGATGGTGCTGCTCTCCATCGGCTTCTTGGCGAGCTCGACATCACGGCTGCGCAGGCCCCTTCCCTTCGCTTGGAGGGCCACGCTTTGCTGCGGCGGGCGAAGGCCACTGCACGTAAGGCTCCTGGTTGCGATGGCTGGGCGGGTCGGCACTGGCGCCTGCTCTCTGAAGACTTCTTCGACCTGCTGGCTGCTGTGTGGAACGCCGTGCTTGGGGGGGCTCCCATCCCTCAGGCGTGGACTCAAGTGCGGATTTGCCTCATTCCGAAAGGCGATGGTGGCTCTCGTCCTTTGGCCATTGCCTCGCTCGCTTGGCGGCTGGGCGCGGCCTGTTTGGTGCAGCAGCTGGGTGAATGGATACGGCAAGTTTTCCCCAAGGAGCTCTATGGCGGCTTGCCCGACCGGAGCGCCGACGATGTGCATGCAGAGCTCACGCAGGCGATGTACGTGCAGCGTGGCGGTGGTCCTTTGGCGGGATGCAAAGCGGACGTGAGAAGATGCTTCGACAGCGCCTCTCCGGACCTGGCTCTTCAGTGCTTGCGCCAGATGGGTGCGCCGGCGCCATTGCTCGATGTGATGGGGAGGTTCTATGACCAGCAGGAGCGCTGGATCATGGTGGACGGGGCCACGTGTCGGCGTCCTCTTCGCGCTTGCGGCTCCCTGCTACAAGGGTGCCCAGTTTCGCCACTCTGTCTCGGCGCCATGATGGTGGTCTGGGCGGCGACTGTGCAGAGGGCCAACACCGGCGTGCAGCTGGCCATCTACATCGACGACCGCACAATGTGGGTTCGCAAACGTTGGGGAGCAGCACGTGCTGTTCGTGATGCCATGATGGCGGGCGCCGTGGCCGACGATGCGCTTGGCTTTACCCTCCACCCCGAGAAACTGGAAAGTTTTGCCACCACTCAGGCTGTGCGCGAAGACCTCCTGGGCCTTGCTGACATCGTTGGCATACCTCAGGTCACCTTCACATTGCTTGGCATCCCTTACAATACCACCCGTGCCGCTCCGGTGGCTACTGCTGGCGTGGCGGCGACCTTGATGGCGCGTTGCAAGCGCATCCAGAAGTTTGGCGGCAGCCGCAGCCTCCGCTGCGTGCTCCTCAAGAAGCTGGTCATCCCGCTCTTCAGGTGGGCGGCGCCTTGGCTCAGGTTCTCCAAGAAGCTTTTGGCTACATGGACGGCGGCTATCGAACGGGCGGCTTGGGGGGGGGGCATCCCTCGTGGGCGCTCGCCGGCCCTCGCCTGGCTGACTGTGGTTGGTGTGGATTTGCTCCCCGCGTACGTCTGTGCCGAGACGGCTGTGCTTCGTGAACATCGGCGCCTTCACTTGCAACGTCACAGCTCGGAGGCCACCTTCACGGCAGAGGCTTTTAAGGCGGTGGACTGGAAGCGTGGCGACGATGGCACTTGGACCACCCGCCATGGGTGCTTTCGCGCAGGGGCCATCAGTGCGGAGGGGCTGCGCAGACAACTTCGGCTGGCTTGGGCCCGCAAGCTCTTGCTCAAGGACAACAAGACCAAGCAAGAGGGTGGTTTCGTTGGCGACTTTGACCTCGCGCACCACTTGACAACGGGCCGACATGTCGACGGCTACAAGGCTAGGGTCATGGCGGGTGCGGCGGCGGACTCTCGCCACTTGGTGGAAAAGGGGGGCACGGCTGCGGACTTTGTCTGCGACTGCGGGAGACGGGGGCCTACGCGCTCCCACCTCACCTTCGAGTGCTCTTCGGCTCCTTGGACATTGGAACTTCGCTCCGCTTTGGAGCGCCGGCTTCTGCTGCCTTTGGGGCCGTCTGCTCCTCGTTGGGATATGGCGGACTACGAGGCGGATGTCGCCAAGTTGGTGCAGCACTTGGCTGGCTTGGACGCGACGCAGGTCCACTACGTGGCTACAGACGGTGGCTGTGCACTGGCTCGCGGGGCGGAGTTTTGGCAGCGCGCTGCTTGGGGTGTGGCTTTTGAAAATGGTGAGTTCGGCGGCTTGGTCTTGGGGGCAGAGCAAACGGCGGCAGAAGGCGAACGGGTCGCTGTGTACCTGCTGGCCATGGCTCTCCTGCAATGTGGGCGCAGTATTCGTTTGCTGGTGGACAATCAAGCAGTTGCTGGGCGTCTTCGGCGCGGCCGCAAGGCGTGTGAGAACGGTGATCCTTGGGCTCTTTGGCGCGTCATTGCTGACGCCGTTCACCTGCTGGACGTAGCCTGGGTGCCTTCACACGGCAAGAAGCCTCTGTGGGGGCCGCCGCCAGATTGGCTTGATGGTGTGGCGTGCCGTGCGCTCAACGCACGAGCCGATGCGGCGGCGACCCAGGCATTGGATGCTGTGAGAGCTGTGGTGGTGGCTTCAGTGCGTGCGGCAAAGGAAAGGCGGGCTTGGGCGGCTGCTGCCGTGGCCGCTCAGATGAGGGCTACGCAGCCCTGGCACGTGAAGTTCGTGGAGAAGATGCGGGTTCTGGCGTTTCGGCGTCGGGCCACTTGATGGGAGGCACTCGTGGTGCACACTGGCGATGGGCGTTTTCTTGACTCCCGCTTGGGAGCTTCTTTAAGCTGCTTTGCAGCCGGACGGGTGGCGTCTAGACAACCTTCCTGGTCTCAGTCTGTCGTCTTTTTCGTTAACAACAACAACAACGAAGCAGGTACTTCACTCCGCCCCGCCTGTGCCGGCCCTTCCTGGGCCTTGCAGCTCTTTGCAAACCGAGTTGCTCACTTTGCCTTGCAGCAGCAGTAGCAACAGCTGTGCCGTAACAGCGGCCCGAACCCTGCAGCAAGCCACCCTATGGGCCAAGGCTACTGCAGACAAAGCACACACACACACACACACACACACACGAAGCAGGTACTTCAGCCGATTGTGGTGCTCCTACGAGCTTGGGGCGTTCCTGCACCTGCGGAAAGCTGATGACGCGAAGCAGATCCAGATCATGCCTGCGTCGATGGGAGCTTTGATGGTGGTGGGCAGCATGCTCATCATGGGACAGGCCTTTGCCAACTTCGTCATCGCCGCGCACATCGACGCTGCCTGGCATGAGGGGGCAGATTGGTTGAGGACAACTTTGAGTGCCTTGGCTTCCTTCCTGGGTGTGTGGTACTACCTGCAACAGGAGCAGGAGATCAGTGGGCTTTCCGAGCAGCTGGGGAGCTTCAGCATTCACCAGTCCCAAAACTTCTGCTGCTCAGTCCAGCACCGCATGCCCGAAACCGGAGAAGAAATCCTGTGCGACCGGCGCCTCGTGTACGCCACGCTGGCATCCTGGTACGCCAATGACTTGTGCCGAGACCCCCTGGAGGCCTTCAACCTCGAAGTCCGGTCGCAAATCAGGGAGGTCGTCCTGAAGCAGTTCGGCAAGTATCGCTTCAACGTCCCGCCATCGTACTTCTTCTACATGTGGGTCTTCAGCGAGGCCTGCGTGTCTCTGGCCTGGTTCGGCAAGGACCTCCTTGACCCCACAAACTCCTGGTGGCTCCTGGCGGAGCCGCGGGTGGCCGACCCCCTCTGGCGCTTCTCGATGCTTAGGGGGTACTTGGAAATAATTGTTCAGTTTTGGGTACTATAACTTATAACCCCTAAGAAGCCGCAAAAGCCACTTCATTTTTGCTGGGGTTCTCCAAGTTCAGTGTAGGATGACCATCTGGGGTGCCGGCGCCTCCCTGGTCGAAGTCTGCCTTCTGCTCGAGTTCAGCAGGCCCCCCAGCTTTTTTTTTGGTTGGGTTTAGGGTTTAGGGTTTAGGGTTTAGGGTTTAGGGTTTAGGGTTTAGGGTTTAGGGTTTAGGGTTTAGGGTTTAGGGTTTAGGGTTTAGGGGGGGGGGGGACAGAAGGAGGGAAAACCGAGAAAAAGGAACTCTGAGTCTTTTTTGTGGAAAGCCATAGGCCCCTCTATACCTAAGAGCAGGCCCTACACTACCCCCGGTAAGGGTCCCTTACAGAAGGGTCCCTAAACCTTAAGTCCTAAACCCTAAGCCCTAAACCCTACATCCTAAACCCTAAACACTCAAACCCTAAACCCTGTAGTCCCTGGAGGCTCAGCCAGCAGGCCTTCTTCATCGAGCGCCTCTGGCTGCCCGCCCGGGCGCTCCTGGTGGCAGCACTGGCCATGGGCGTCATGCACATCATCGAGACGGTCACTTAGGGGTACTTGGAAATAACTTTTAAGCTTTGGGTACTATAATTCCTAAGAAGCAGCGAAAAACTCATTTCTGCTGGGGTTCCAAGTGCAGTACAGGTCACCCACACTTTGCATGACTACGCCTTGGAGGTGGCCATTGCGTACCAGCTGGTCTGCTACGTCCTCTCCATCATCGTGATGCTGTCGCCTTGTGAGGTGCGGTGGCGAAAGGCCCACGTCTAGACGCGCTGGTGCCCGACACAACCTGGCGGTTTCATCACCGAGAGGTCGTCGGTTTCTGCATCGGCCGCAAACCATTCTCAAACCCCAAGGCCCTATAGGCCCTAAACCCCAAACCCTGAAATCCCAAAACTTGATCATTTTTTTCAGCCCGGCTGGGTCGGACGTAACGATCCTTCTGTGGCACAACGACGCCACATGGGATCCAGTCCACATTTTCAATAGAAGCACCGTTTGTGAAGTGCATGTGAGCTCTCTCTCTCTCTCTCTGCCACAAATTCTGAAAACCTAGGCCTGAAGCCCTAAACCCAAAGCCCTAAACGCGAAACTCTAACACCTGGCTGCGCGAGTCAAGAGGAGGCGCTCACACACACAAAGACTCGGAAATTTATATCGCCTTTCAGGGGGAAAGAACGAGCGGTCCGAAGGGCGCTGCCACGCTGACCCCAAGAGACGTTGTGCCCGAGGCTCTCTGAACCCCAAGCCCCGACACCCCGAAACGCCGAAACCCTAAACCCTAAACCCTCAACACTACACACAAACCCGAAGACCCTGGAGCCCTACACCTTAGCCCTAAACCCTAAACCTTAAACCCTAAACCCTAAACCCCCAAAGCCCTAAACCCCAAGACCCTACATCCCAAGACTCAACCCCTGGGACCTTCCCCACCCACCATGAGGCGCAGTGGCCCATGGCATCCGGCTCAGGTGGCTAGGAGGCTCGGGGCTCAAGGGGCTCCGCGGGTTTAGGGTTTAGGGTTTAGGGTTTAGGGCTTGGGGGAGCTGCAGGGGTTTCGGGGTTCAGGGTCTAGGGCCGCGGGTTGGAGGCATGGTTCAGCGAACGGCCCTAAGGCCAAGCTCCTTTAGATGAGTGTAGCCCTCGTGGGTTGAGGGTTTAGGGTAACTAGGGTAGGGCTAGCGGTAAGTGCGAAGATCCGGGGGTGTTTTTAGATCTTACCTTGCAGGTTTTGGCAGTGGTGGTGGCAGCACCAGATCAGTTGAAGGGAGTTGTCATGAGTTGCAGCGCGGAGTGATGCCCAAAGGCCACAACATTCAAGGCCCTTCTCCTCCTCTTACCTCCTAAGAGTTCTCACTTCTGAGAAGGAGTGAAGGCCAGGAATGAAGCCCGGGAATCCCCAAAATACCTCCTGCAGCGACCATGTGCGGCTCCAGCGAGCTTGCAGCTCCCTTGTGTGCTGTTGGCCGGGATGCTGAAAGTGTGGTCGATGTCTGGCCAGGAGCTGGCAGCCCTGCCGCTCCACGCGATGATGGACGTTCGGGAGTTGAAGCGACACCTCCGCCTGCGGCATGGCTTCCCAACTTGCTGCCAGGAGCTCCTTCATGCCGGGAGAAGGCTGGACGAGGATGCTAAGCTCGATGCTTCCATGGATGTGCAGCTGGTCGTGTCATCCCTGCCCCTCGGGCGGGAAGCGAAGCACGAGTGGTTCGATGCCGTCCTCAACTGTGCAGGAAAGGCGATTCGGTGGATGCTTCAGGCTGGATTCGACAAGGAGACGGTAGACGGGGAGCGCAGAACGGCCCTCTGGCATGCGTCGCGTTCCGGCCAGATTGAGGTCCTGAGCATGCTGTTGGCAGCTGGTGCGCAGCTGGATGTGCCGGATGACTACGGCTTCACGGGCCTGACCTGTGCGGCGATCCACAACCACGTCGAGGTCGTGCACCTGCTGCTCGCCGCAGGCGCGCGCAAGGACGCCGCCGACTTCAATGGCCTGATGACGGCTCTCATGTTCGCCGCCTGCAACGGCCACGCCGAGGTCGTCCGGCTGCTGCTGGAAGCTGGCGCAGCCACGGACGCGATCGACCGATATGGGGCCACGGCCCTCACGCACGCATCCAAGCAGGGGCACCTGGAAGTGGCCACCTTGCTCCAGGCAGCTGGCAAAGACCCAGCGGAGTCCGTGTCAAGGACGCAAGGGGGCCCCTGAGCCAAAGAGCTCTTGGGAAGTTCGGGGTGTAAGGGGACAAGGGTTTAGGGTTTCAGGTTTCGGGTATAGGTTTAGGGTCCCGTCAGCGTCGCCGAGAGCGCTCTTCTTTGCCGGAGGCTCCCGCAACGATGCTACTGCTCACTACACGCGGTGGTGACCCCGTGATCTGTGGGTGGCCATGGCTCGGAAAAGCCCGTGACGAGTGGGCCTCCTTGTATCAGACCCAGAACTCTAAACACTAAACCCCAGATAGTAGAACCCTAAACCCCAAACCCTAGAACCCACAGCCCCACAAACTTTAAGCCCCCTAGCTGCTAACTCCTCAGCCCTAAACCCTTAGCTCCTACACCCTAACACCCCTGGTTTAGGGGTGTTAGGGTTTAGGGGATGCAGGGCTAGGGGATCCAGGGTTAGGGGGACCTAGGGTTTCGGGGACTTAGGGTTTCGGGGACTTCGGGTTTAGGGGCTTCAGGGTTGAGGATTTAGGGGAACTTCAAAGCCTTGAGGGCTTTAAGAAATTGGGCTGTTGAACCCCTAAACCCTAACCCTAAACCCTAAATCCTAAACCCTAAACCCTAAACCCTAAACCCCCAAAGCCCTGGAGACTTTCCACTCTGGAGGTGGTTCTGCCCGAAACCCTAAACCTTAAACCCTAAACCCTAAACCCTGAACCCTGAACCCTAAACCCTAAACCTCGTCCCCTGGGCCTCTCGAACCTTCAACCCTGAGCCCTCATCGCCCAATGCCCCAAAACCCCGCTCCAGGTTTCACCCTAAAAACCCTGTAAACCCCTCGATAAACCCGTAAAACCCTCTGAGCCCGTTAAACTAAACCCTATGAATCCTCTAAACCCACCCTATGAACCCTATTACACCCTATGAGCCCCTATGAACCTATGATCCGTAACACTTTAAAGAGCCCGATGAATTGGGATGTTCCACCCTTATGCTAGCAGTCCTGAATAGGGATTATAGTACCCCCCCATTATAATCCCTATTAAGGGCAGTATAAGGGGAACATCCCAACCCTAAACCCTACGAGCCCGATGAACCCGAAACCGTGTGGCAAGCGCAGGTTCTCGCGCTGAGCAATGTCTGTGGCGCGGCCAAGGGGTTTTCAGGGCTCCGAAGGTTTGCAGTCTGCATAGGGTTTATAGGTGTTTGCAGGGTTTTAGGGTCAAAAAGGGGATTCTCACGTTTTGCAGGTGTGTTTTGTGTTGACGGGTTTTCCGGGTTGATAGGATTTGGTGAGGGTTTAGGGTTTAGGGCTAGGGAGGGAGCTGCTCCTGACTCCAAAACCCTTGCCGGAGCTTGGAGGAAAAACAAAAACTGCTGCAGCAGGATTGAGGGTTTCGGTTCTGGGCTTTGGGACCTGCGAGTTGGGGTTGGGATGTTCCCCCTTATCCTAGCAGTCCTCAATAGGGATTCTAGTGCCCCCTATCTAGTATAAGGGGTGAAGGTCCCAAGTCTGGGGTCCGAAGCCCAAAAAGCCCTAAGTCCTCTCCTAAACCCTCAATCGCTAACTTTACCACCCCGACCTTCCCGAAGCCTTGAACGTCAAGCTTGATGTGGTCTCTATCTTCGTTTAGGGTACACAGAAAGGGTTTAGGGTTTAGGGTTTAGGGTTTAGGGTTTAGGGTTTAGGGTTTAGGGTTTAGGGTTTAGGGTGCCCAAGGTAGGCAGCAGGGACAAAAGACCACCCTGTTGAGATCCCAAACCCCAAATCCTACACCCTAAACCCCAAACCCTAAACACTAAGACCCCGGACCCGAAACCCTAAACCCTAAACCGGAAACCCTAAACCCTAAACCCTAAACCCTAAACCCTAAACCCTAAACTAGAAACCGAGCCCGTGAGGGCCCAGGGTTTGGGGTTTGGGGTTTGGGGTTTGGGGTTTGGGGTTTAGGGTTTAGGGTTTGGGGTTTAGGGTTTAGGGTTTAGGGTTTAGGGTTGAACCTTGAAGCCCTAAGGCACAACTTGCTTCAATCGGAAGTCTAAGTTGAGTTGGTTCCTTGCGTATGGGTATGGGGGCCCTTGGGCTTCTGGCGTTTACTCAAGGACCACGTAACAAAGCCCTACGCCCTAAGCCCTAAACCCCAAACCCCAAACCCCAAAACCCTAAACCCTAAACCCTAAACCCTAAACCCTCAACCAAGCAAAACTTCGCCAAAACCGAAGTCCCACTCCCGGCCCGCCAGTTCTGCTCAAGCAGGGGGATCGCCCTCCCCGCCTGAGCGCAATTCAACCCGCCGGCAGCCCCCGGCATGGTTTTAATGATTTTAATGAAGCTTGGCTCACGGGACTACTTGGAGGTTCATGGTAGTTAGTAACCAATTATAACTGTACTTATAACCCATATTATATCTATATATAGGGCACTTAAGAGGCTTAGAAGTACAGTTATAAGTACATGTACAGTTATAATTTGTTACTAAGTACCATGAACCTTCAAGTAGAGGAGAAGGGACCCCTTACAAGGGACCTTGGGGGGACATGTAAGGGGGCTACTGAGGGATATAGGGACGATGTAAGGTATGTATGGGGGGTTATATTATAGAGCAACAAGATGAAGGGTGCCTTCTACAGGTTTTTCCTTATATCCGTTCAGTGGCCCCTCTTCTGGCTTAGGTTTTGGGGGCTCTTGTGGCTTTGGGTGCTTTGGGGCCTCAGCAACTTCCCCCCTGCATTTCCCAAGCCCCCAACCTCAACTCCTAAACCCTAAACCCTAACCCTAAACCATAAACCCTAAACCCTAAACCTTAAACACTAAGCCCTAAACCCCACAGCAAGGAAGTTCCTCGTGGCCTTGCAGTTCGCCAGCGCAGCAAAGTTCCGCTTTGAGGGCAACAGCACCCCTGCTCAGGTTCAGGGTTCGTAAGGTCGGGTTAGGGTTTTGGGTTTAGGGTTTAGGGTTTCGGGTTTCGGGTTTAGGGTTTAGGGTTTCGGGTTTAGGGTTTAGGGTTTCGGGTTTAGGGTTGAGGGTTTCGGGTTTCGGGTTTAGGGCTGCTTAAGGGTTTAGGGTTCAGAGTTTAGGATTTAACCGTCAGACATTAAAACCG